AGTAAAATTGTCGTAGATTTATTTTAAGAATAAGAGATAATTTAAGTTTTCTACGAACGCTGCACCACTGGGAACCCAAAGAAGTGTTTCAAACCATCTGAAATTACTTATCAGAACATTGAAGTTAGATCGAAATTTTCATTTGCTTTCTCAATTATAAATGCTGCACAAACCTGAATTAATAGCGGTGACAATGAAGAACGCAAATATATTTTAATTACATAACTAGTACAAAAGTTTAACGCGTATCTTAAATTGTAAAATAAATAATTGAAAAAAAAAATTATTCAAACACAAAAAAATCTTTATTTTTTAATAAAACAAAAATTTGGCGGGCAATGTCACCGGTATCTAGTGATGTCAACACGTGACATTACACACAGATAACGTCTAACATGCTACTTAAAGCTGTCAACGTGTGACAACTGTATCTAAAAGGTAAAAATATCTTTTTACACTGTGACAAACAATCGAGCTATGAAAAAATGTATTGTTTCTTAGTTAATGTATTGCATTGCATTATACTCTTATGATTAAATGCTGACGTTGATTTGTTTGTTATTTTTAAGCATCACTGCCTTGAGCTATTTCGATGTAATTTTAAATTAAACATTTTATATAAATAAAACAAAAATAGATTGTGTACTTGAATGTATATAAATACGATTGCACAAAAATGTACATTTATATGAAACGATACTTAATTAACTGAAATTACATATTCGTATACATAACAGCGTTAGTGTAGACTATGATAAATAAACCTAAGACCTTTATGTAACACACTAAATACGTTAAGAACAAATATTAAAGTCTGAACATCCTATGAATTCTGAAAATTTTCTTTTACAGTATTGCCGGCGCTATGGGTATCTGCTTCCCGTACTTAGGAGAATTCCAACAGACCAAATACAGAGAGAAGATTCTCTGCTGGATGGAAATGTTCTGGACTCTGGGTGTCATTCTACTTCCACGTAAGAGTCTACATCTATAAACTTTTATCTTTAAAATGTAACCATGCAATTTCAACTGCCATTAGTTTAAAGTACGGTCAACAAAACAAAAGGCCATTCAAGTACAGACTATTATAATGAGTTATTTCAACGAGAAGATTTATAATATCTTCTGTGAAATAATTCACCATGATTTCATATTAATTTACAAAGTTAATCTGAATTCTTTGAGCATAACAAAAATACAATTTCCTTTATTAAACTAGATATAGTAAGTTTGAATTATGTAACGTTGTATTTACTCTGTTTTGCGGTAGTCTCTGACTGTAAATTGAGGAATGAAATATTAAACAGGATGTTGATTAGAGGTATTTTAACTATTTGTACTTTACGTAGTGTTCGCGTGGGCCATCATCCCGATTCAAGGCATCCGTATCGAGAGTGGCAGTTTCTCGTACGACTCCTGGAACTGGTTCGTGGCGGCGTGCGCGGTGCCGTCCCTAATGCTAGGATTCTGGTTGCTTACCTTCCCTGAGAGTCCCAAGTTTATGATGGAGTGCGGCGACTATGATGACGCGCTTGCCTGCCTTAAGAGTATCTACCGACAGAACACCGGCGATGATCCTGACAACTATCCGGTAATATACTCTAATCTCTCCGCTAAGATATTAGAAAACGTCAATACAATTAATTTACCAAAAGCCAGAGCCACATTGGTTCACTCGATTTATTTTGAAATAATGTTTTGATACTTCAACATCTATACATACTTTTTTTGTACCTACAGTAACCCTACATCAATCTATACCATAATACTAACCTCCTAACCTTCACTAAGCAACAACGTTATTCTTTTTTACAGATCAAAAGTCTCAAGGAAAAAGTGCGAACAATTTCTGTAGCATCACAGAACTCTCAGAAATCTGTGCGAAGTCTGAGCATGCGCAAACCTAAAGACCTGAAAAGGTTGTTCGGTGAGATCTGGGTACAGACCAAAGCTCTATGTCGACCACCCTACCTCAAGTATACGATCCTCACTTGCCTCATTCAGTTTGGCTTAACTACTAGGTAAGAATTTCTTTTTCTTTTATCAAAAAGTTGTTTGTATTCAGTGCCGACGTTAGACTACCACACGGTTGAGTGACTGCCCAGGCGTTGGACAGAAAAGGGCGTCATAGGAACCTAGCTCAAATCTAGTGGACATAAAACCGTTACAGTTGATATTATAAAAACAACTCTTGTTATAAATTAGGTGTTTATCAGTGTAATGTCATCAGTATGCATCACTGTATTTATAACTTTTGATAATATTTCTGAATATAATTGCGAAGACAAAACAAAATTTCCAAACGTATCTAAAGCGAATTGCAAACAATAAATTGCGCCTTTACAATGATAAATATTGTTGTCACAATATAAATAACTAGGTAAATATTTACAACACAAACATTTTACAAAATTATCTATTCCAGCTACTACACATTGATGATCTGGTTCCCCGAGTTGTTCAATCGTTACGAGGAGTTCGAACACCGATTCCCCAACACTTCGGCGTCAGTGTGCGACGTCTCCGGCATTGTGGTAGACGAGGCAGCCGCTGACCCCTTTGACTGCGAAAAGATCATCGACCAGAGTGTCTACATGCACACCCTTATTGTCGGTCTAGCCTGCATCCCTACTTCACTCTGGCTGCCTCTCTGCGTCCACAAACTTGGAGCCAAGTTCTTCCTTAGTAAGTCGTTATACCAAATTGTTAGATCTCTTTTCCACTAAGCGCTAAGTAGCGGAAATAGTTTATGACATGATTATGTTGAAATATTATGATGAAATCATTCATATCTCACATGACTTTGTTAGTTTATTCTAAATGTAAAGACAATGATCGTGCCAATATACCGGGAAAAGATTTATTCATTTTAATATTATGCAGTATCTACTTAAAATTGTTAGGTAACAAAGTACCAACATGATTAAATTAAAAGAGGTTTTATTTTTTCCTAAACGTCGCATTATATCTATAGCTTAGTTAGTAATCATGTTTTGTTGCAGTTTTCAGTTTGGGCGTGGCTGCACTGGTGACATTCGGCCTATACTTCGTGCAGAACTCTATTCAGAACCTGGTGCTGTCTTGCATCTTTGAGGCGCTCACCTCGCTCGCCATCAGTCTTGTCTTCTGCGTCCTCGTCGACCTCTTCCCTACAAATCTTAGGTATGGGTTTAACCTTCACAACTTTATAAAACGAAATGAACGGACTAGCACGCTAGTTTACTTATTTATGTAAAGATCGATCGGAATGTCACTCGACGTTCATTCACCAAAATTCGGTTCAGCCATTTAAACTAGCTGACTAACTAGCCACAAGGAAATTGACACATTTACCAGCATCACCCCGCGAAACTTATTATTTTCCTGCATGAACTATATCTATGGTAATTTCTTCACGAGACTAATAAAATAATTTAATATAATTAGGGTAATGGCGGCCGCACTCTCCCTGACGGCGGGTCGAGGCGGCGGTCTGATCGGTAACCTGTCTTTCGGCTACCTCATCGACATCAACTGCATAGTGCCAATTGTCGTCTTCTCAGCATTCCTACTTAGTAAGTATACCGACCAGATTTAATTTTGTTTGAAATAACTTTTACTGGCCAATTAAAGTGCCATCTACCCTAATTCCTGGTTTACATAATCCCAGCACAATAGGGACTGTCACTTAAAATTAGAGCTAGTATACAACGGGCATAATATAATACGAAGCGGCGCCAATGAGCCGAAACAGTCCATGCCAGCTATACTTTCCTACTGTACTGGCATAATGTAAACCGGGCTTTGTCATTTTCCTCGTATAAATTAACAAATAAACTTCACTTTTAACTTTTGAACTCAATGAATTCTTATATTCTACAAGTGGAGGGTCTAAAATAACTATAATAATCTGCTATTCTAACTATTAAAGAGAAAAAAATGTGTATTACTCGTATATGTACTAAATAAGATTTACTCTTCCAGTTGCTGCCATACTGTGCTTCTTCTTGCCAAAGACAGGTCAAGAAGCGCTGGATTAAACAAGACATGTGTCTGAACATTAGATAGTGCAATTAGACTTTCAGCTAAGTGTTACGATCACACGTGATCTTACAGGATGTAAATATTGAGAACTAAGTAATGTTATTTATTGTCCAAATCTATTTATTATACAGTGCTGAGTGAGGCTCGTCAGGATGAGGCAACGCGGTTACAATATATTGCTATTCAAAATGTATATCTTATTTTGATAAGATTGAATTTGCAGTATTTTAAGTTTGACTGTGTGCCATTAAATTATTGTTATTAATAAAGGTTACTTCACCTTATTTAAATCTATTGTTTCATTTAGCAATTTACCTTAATTAAACTAGCTGTTATCCGCGACTCCGTCCGTGTGGAATTAAAAAAAAACTTAATTAGCAATCAATGTGTTCGTCCAGATTATGTTATTTCTATATCTATGCCAAATTTCAGCGAGATACATGCAGCCCTTCACCAGAAGTTCCAACTTTTTAACAAACATCCATCCATCTAAACATTCGCTTTTCTAATATTAGTAATCTATATATATAAAAGAAAGTTATGTTAGTTACACTATTTATAACTCAAGAACGGCTTTACAGATATGGCTGAAAATTGGTGAGGAGGTAGCTTAGAGCCAGGAGACGGACATAGGATACTATTTATTCATTTTTTTTCGAATTTATGTCTTGAAGCTTTTTGTTCAACTTATCTATATATTAAGTTTTTTGATATATCCACGCGGACGGAGTCGCGGGCGACTGCTAGTTACGGTATAAAAGTTTACTATAATTAAAATGCAATTTAATTAATTATAAATTAGAGATACAAATGCCTTTGATAAAAAAGTTTATTTTTAAATATATATTATTGATAACATAAAAAATTATTAATAGTGTTAACCCCTTTTTCTAGTATTCTTTTGTAAAGTAAAAAATAAGGTTTTATAACGAAGTATTAAACTTAATTGATTCACAAATACATACTAATAATATGCTTGAAGTATATTAAACAATTATGTACGAATATTTTAAACAAGAAGATTTTTAAAGCATTTGGTTTACGAAATAAATTTTATAAATAAAATCTTATCACATCAAGATCCAACATTTACGAAGCTTACAACTCTTATTTCATCTAAACAATGTAAGTTTATCTTTATATTGATACAGGTTAAGGTCCAAATTCCTATAAAAGTAATAAAAGCTACGATTTTAATAATAAATAATGGCAATTTAATTTAAAAAATAAAATTTCATGTAGGTATAAACTCAAAATTATCACGATACACCTATTCTAAAAAAATTAACACGTTGAGCGCCACGCGTATTTGTAAGACAATCCCGTACAGGCCACGAGCGCTGCTTAAACGCACTGGTATTAAAAGGCCGGTGTTTCCGATCGCAGTACAAATTCCGTAAAACCGTCAAAAACTTGTGTAATTCCGCAAAATAGTGTAAAATTTTATAGTTCTCATGTTACACGCTGTCAGCCACCGCTGGTTGTCGCGACCTAAACATAATATCTAGTGTCAGCCACCGATGGCTGACGTGGCGCTCAACGTGTTAATATAATAGTGTTTGAATACACAAAATAAAAATATAAATAAAAAAAAAATTGCATTACCGAGTCAAAAAAAAACGCTCAGCATCTCATAAGAAAAGTAACACTAAGTGATGGAACTGTAAGTGTAAAAGCACAGGACATAGCTGTTTACTCTTTTAATTTGCTTAGTGTTTATTTAAGTTAAGAGATTGACATCAAACTTATCATACAAGTTCGTACATGTTGTGTTTTTATCCTCTGCTAATGGTCAAAGGTGTTCGTTTTAAAACTGCCAGTGTTCATGTTTCCGCTAATTGAAAGTTGAAAGTTAAACCGAGTTTAATGCCTGTATCAAGTTAAAGGTAAGACTTACTTAACAATCTATCAGCGTGACGTTTGCGCGGCACTTGGCACTTGAGGCAGACCAAACTCATCCACAGGCACTCCATCCTTGTTGCGAATACTGTCAGCTCCCGGTTCCTTGTCTGGTGCAGCTGGAGCTTTGACCACATCATCCAAATATGATGAGTCATCGTCTAATGCGATTTCATCACCTGAAAGGAGAAATTTCAAGTATGGATTCAGTTTGAAACTACAATTTAAGTATATAAAAATATTAAACTATAAGTAAAGTACATAAACTGTATACTTTGCAATATATTACACAGTTTTATTTACAATAAGACTGGGTTTCAATTTAGGCGGAATTAACTACTAGCTAAAATAATAAAAAAAATATTATCACTACAGTACATCAATAATATGTAAAATATTTTTTACTGTAATTGAGTGTCAAACAAAGAAACTTAAATTAATTCTCAGCTTTGTCTGGCACATAGGCAGCAGTGTTAAGTCAATCTTTTGGTAAGACATATGTAACAAAGAAAGATAAATACCAAGTGCATCAAGCTCTGCGGCTAATTCATCATCATCAATCTCTGGCACTCCATACTGCCGTCCCAAAGCATCCTGCACTTCATCCGCTTGGTCCAACATGTCCGCCAACTCATCATTGACATCCTATAACATACAATAAATTCATATCAGATCTTGGTTCTGTAAAATCTCTCCTGGAGATTGTCAGCACCATAGGGATTGCTGGCTATTCATTGTAAAGCTAGGTTAACTGAAGTGATCCATGTTCTACCCTCGCATAAAATATGCAACAGTCAATTAGAGAAACCATAGCCCCTACTGCTATTTTATTTCTAGAAAAATTTGATTACACCATTGATATATTGTAGAAATCATACTAACCTCAATGGTGTCAATATTTATCTTTTTGAATTCCTTCTTCATCTGGTTGACGCCATCTTTCATAGCCGCTATAGTAGTGTGTGTATCCTTTAGGGTTTGTGTGGCATAATTTGCCTGTTCCATGTTAAATGACTGGTTTCTAAGGTTCTCTAGTTGTTGTTCATACCTATAAGTTTTTTTTGGACATTTGAATAATATTTTGTTAGCAATAACATATAAAAAGACCCAAACAACAGGTACAACAAACAATGGAAGACTGAACTTATAGCTTCGTTAGAATTATGCTCTTTACATTAACTTACATTTTTTTCTGTTTCAAAACTCTCATGGCTTTTTGCTTTACGTTATTTTTTGCAGGGCCTTCTCGCATCTTCGCCATTTGATCTTTGTATTTTCTTAACTCGGTTTCCAACTTTTGGACCTTCTGCTCAATATTATCAGCTCGACTATCCACCTGAAAAATTGAAACATTATTGTGCCTAACATGTATGATGAATCATTCAAACAAAAACGCAATATTATCACCAGCCACTTACATTAGTAATACAGTCTGCTATACTAGGGCCTGGTTCTTTAGGTTTTCCTCTTCCGAAGATTCTATTCATTTTCGTAATATAGCTTTCTGATAAGATTAAATTTACAAATACAGAATAATCACAGTATCCACCTTCTCAGATATTTCTTGTTTTTTTACAATTATTGACAACCATAGACAACAGCAGTCTTCCTCTTGTCTCTGGTCAAAACATGTTAACGATAATAAAGAACTGTCAAAACAAATAAACTACACAAGAAATCCGAAATCTGAATTAATTCTTCACCTTATTTGTTAATAATTATTTGTTAAAAACGTAAGCAATTTCCTAAACTGATTTGACAATAATGTCGAAAACGTGGAGATAAATATGGTTCAAAATACTTATCCAGATGATATAAGAATTTCTAATTAATTTCTAATTTTATTCCATGGAAGATGGGTCGGGTGCTGGTATGGGATGCAACCTGTTCAGACACGCTGGCCCCTTCCCATCTACATGGAACCAACAACAGAGCGGGTGCGGCTTGTGAAGCGGCTGAAAATGCAAAAGCATGCAAATACAGGGGTCTAGGCTCCGAATATCATTTTGTCCCATTCGGCGTCGAGACCCTTGGTCCGTGGGGTCCTAGCGCTTTAAGACTTTTTAAGGACATTTCCAAAAAATTAATCGACATCACAGGGGACCGAAGAGCTGGCAGCTACCTCGGTCAAAGAATTAGTTTAGCTGTACAGAGGGGGAACGCTGCCAGTATCTTCGGGACCTTGCCTAAAGGGACTCCTTTTATTAACATATTTTAGTTAATTATTCGGTTTTTTTTTTAAATTTTATTTTATATCATAGATTTAAGAGTTTATGTATTATAAGTATATATATGTATTAGGATGTAAATAATTAATAAAAATTTCTAATTACACTCGACGATGACGTTTATGGTGACATAAAATTATAGATTGTGTCAGTTTTGACATTGACAAGTTGATAATTCTTTTCAACCGCCTGGTTGATCGTCTTTTAAAAACAAATTTTAATTATTAGTATCTTATGTATTTATTTGCAACGGTTTTCAACAACTTAAATTACCAAACAATTAATTTTTAGCATTGAAATTTCTTTGTTTTTATTAACTTGTCAAAATGTCAACAAACGGCGTTTTATGTAAGGTGTGTGAATTTATTTTAAACCTTATAGAATCTGAATAGATGAATAATATCTGAAAAAAAAATGCTTGATAGAATATTCTTGTACTTCCAGTAAAAACATCGGAACCGAGATTGTATCTAAAAGTATAATTAATAGTTTTAAAATAGTCGTTAAAATCTTTACACCAGTCTAATCAAAAACAATTATTTGAAAGGTTTTACCAACCAAAACGCCTTTATGTAATAGCAAATATTTCCTAAACAATTTACAGCAACTCATCAAATTCAATAGTTTTTTTATTCACTTTACATATTTAGCTTTCAGTTAGTTGTTTTATTCATCCATTTCTCTGTAATCATCCATCCATCCATTATTTTTATCCATTCCTTCGTATTTCAATTTAATACATTAAATTTACCATTTTGAAACCATTGTAGATCATCTATAATCATGATTTTTAGGTGAAAAAGCTAAGTAATATCTTAATTACACAGCGCAGTTCTTGTGAATGTCTAAATAAAGTTATGAAAACCCAATGGGATATATCACAAGTCATGGGCTGCAATGGCAAGAATCTAGTTAAATATGGTGTACTGGTATTGAACAGACCAATTTTACAAAAAACTGATTTTATGAAAACATTCTGGAATAATGGTAAGTTTTGTTAACATTTTTTTTCAATTTTCTGTACTGTAACAGTTTAGAAAAGAGATGTACTAAAACTTTTTTTTATAATATTTCTCAGTAAATATAACAGTTTGCCATAATATGTATTTTTTTCCATAACTTTTGATTGTATTACTGCAATATTTTGCTTTAAGTTTCCAATGGCAAAATCCATGTGTAAAATATATTTATCTTCAAGAAAAGAAACATAAATAAAAATTAATACAGGTTGAAACTCATTTGCATAGTTATCATACTGTGTTACTTATTTTTTTTAATTTGGCGCTGTTACTGGCGACAGTTATTAATTTATAAATGTCAATAAAATGTCCTCAGTTTAGTCTATTTTTTCAGCTAGCGTAAGAATAACTGTTGATGGTGGGACATGTCAGTGGGATAACTTTTTAAAACTACTACCAGAAAAAGAGCAACAATCAATTCAGTTGCCAGATCTTGTTACTGGTGACTTTGATTCAATAACAGATGAAATATTACAGAAATATAAAAAGAAAGGTTGTAAGGTGAAATTTAGCCATTTTTATTAACATATTACCCTATACTAAACAATAGCTGTCATTCTCAGTATATTTAGTTGCAAGCAAAAATGTCATTTAAAATGAGGTTAATTTTTTAATTTTTTTTTTTGGCTTAGATTTTGTCTAGTGTTTTGGAACATATAGGGACAAGTCTGCGTTCTTTTTTATTTATATGGATTAATCATTAGTTTGGTATTTATGTGTTGATGATAACTAAATAATGTTTAACATATTATACAAATTCATATCTTTATATAAACACAGTACTAAATTTTTTATTTTTACTTGGTTTGAATAATATAAAAACAGAGGTCACTATAAGTAAATATCTTAGCAATGGCACTGAAGGTTAATTATTAATTTTATAACCAATGTTTTTGCAAAGAATTGAATATGACTAAAATTTATTGACATTGATTGAGTGTTGGTGGCTCAGAAGTCAAGCACTTGACTTGAAATCTGCAGGTCCTGGGTTCGAATCCCGTCATGCACCAATGGATTTTTCGATTTACATATGTACATTTATCCGACATACTTACGGTGAAGGAAAACATCTAGATGCAACTTGCACATATCTAAGAAGAAATTCACAGATATTTGTGAAGTCAACCAACCCGCACTGGGCCAGCGTGGTTGACTAAGGCCTAATCACTTTTAACTTAGTGTAGGCTCCGAGCCCCTTGGTGGGGAAGTAAAGTGAGCTGATAAATAAAACATTCATTATACATAAGGTGTGTAATTTATTTCTTTTAACTTTTAGATCATACATACACCAGATCAAGACCATACAGATTTTACAAAAGCTTTAATGGAATTAAATAAATACTGCACTGAATATAAAACTGAGGTATGTACAATTTAATAGTGTCAAGTGTTAAAAATAATATATATTTTTAAAACATTCAATGAATTCATGCGCTTATGATTTTCTTACATGAAATGTGTTAATATATATTTTTCATCATTTTTTTTTATATCAAAAAGTGGCAAACGAGCGAGCGGCCACCTGAAATAGCTGAAATAGCGAAGTGACCGTTGCCCATAGACATACGCAATTGCATATGCGTTGCCTACCTTTAATCGATGGAGGAGATGATGCACAGAAAGTAAATATCTTCCCTTTCCATGTATCCTCTCATCCGGAAAGTCCACTTCCTCTTCGCATCCTTTCCTTATAAGTAAAAGGGTGGAAAGGGAAAGAGGACTAAATTAGGCCTCCGGGACGCACACTCATCAGATGAAACGCGGAATTGCTTCCACTTCACGCCTGTCTTCTGTGTGGTTGTATGCAACATTCATATCCTGTTTGAATTATTTGCTTAATATTTTAATCTTATTAACCTGTCAGGGTTGTGTGTTAAAAATATACATTCCATGAATACATGCACATTCAATACTACTTTTTATCATGGAACATTTATAACTTTTTTGAATTATTTACTTTAATTTTTAATCACATTAATCTGTCTCTTCCAGATAAAGCATGCAGTCGCAATAGCCCAAGCTTCAGGAAGGATTGACCAAATATTAGGGAATGTACAGACATTGTATCTAGCAAAGTTGAATTTGTTACCTACAACTAAAGTTTATATAATGTCCGATGATTCGATATCCTGGTTGTTGTTCCCCGGAGAACATATAATATTTATACCTGAAGAGACAAGGAAACATAAAAGATCTTGGTGTTCGTTAGTGCCCATGGGAGAAATCTGTGATAGTGTCACAACAAGTGGCCTCAAATGGAATTTAGGTATGTGCTAGGTGCTCATATTTTTTAACGCACATTATCTGTGCAACATTGTATGCTTTTTATGTCTGTTTTAATTTTAATATTCATAATTTGACATAATAGGCCATTTTTAATATAATTTTCATGTAATTTTGTATTATTATCTATTGTAATTAATTGCTTAAATTAAATATATTTAATTACGTTAGTAATTTTTTCTACATAATAATCTTTATGTAATCAAACCTAGATAAGCTAGACAACAAGGGTCTGTGATATTTTCTCGCTTATAGATTTTTCTCACAATCTCTGGTTTCTCGCTTATAGAGATTGTCCATCGGAAGAATTATCTCGCTTATCCAGGTTGGGCTGTGTAGCATTCGTTGCGTTATATTTGGCTCGTTCACGTTCCGACACGTGTTGCCGGTCCAAAGGTCTGACATCGGCTGTCCCCTCTCTTCGAAATGTACTTATGGCGTGTACGATCGAGACAAACAACACTACGTCCTGTAACCATAATTTATTCATAAATATATAAAGCTGTTTGGATATGGTATATCTGAGTTTAACTATACAATGAGATGATAATATAATTTCCAGAAAACACAAGACTAAAGTTTGGTGAACTAGTGAGTACTTCAAATGCATTCGACGGCTCAGAGAAGGTAATGGTTAAATGCAGTCACACAATTCTCTGGTCGATGAAAATGCCCGGCATATTATGTAAGTATTGGTATTTATTTCATATGACAATAATTACTGTCGATCTTGGTTAATCGAGAAAGCTGGTCTCTACGGACCACCTCCATAATAAACTCTGGAAACCAAAAGAAAAATATAGCGTATTATCTCGCGTATATTTTAGTAATTGTCTTATTGCTTGCTAGTATTATAAAATTGAATGTTTGGATGGATGGATGTATGTTAGAAGGTATCTCTAGAACGGCTGCATAAATCTCGCTGATATTTGGCATACTTGTAGAACATAATAGTTTGAAAGAACACATAGGCTAATAATTAGTTTTTTTTTATTATGCCATGCGGACGGAGTCGCGGGTGACAGCTAGTAAATAATAAAAACGTTTTTTGGATTACATTTTCTTAAACGAATAACAATATTAATAGAAAATAAGTAGAGATTGCCAACTTGCAATAGATTCATAACTTTTTTATGTTATAAAATAATTTTATCATAAAAATTGGGAAAAGCGCCACCTAGTGAAGATTTGGAAACTTTTAAAATCAAAATTTAATTTTCTTTTTCAGGTTGACAAATACATACGGGGAATGTAGAGAAGTTGATTAGATGAATTTATTTCTGGAAATAATATACTAAATTGTTTTTTTTTATTTTCTATAAGTTCTGTTAAATTGTCTGATTTATAACACTCATTGTTGTGTTAGTTTTATACAAACGAAATCATTACCAATTTTTTAATATATTAATAGAAATAAAAGTAATGAAAAATGATAAAACTTTTGTGATTGTTAACCTGACTTATTTCAGTCCACTGTAATTTTTTTCCTTTAGATACTGCCAAAGTAGAAAACATTAAATATTTTCTGCTTTTAGTATAATTTTTAGTATGTATTATTAGTGCATTTTTTATTGTTTTCAAATGTCCCTCTTTTCTCTTGAATATGCAGCAATTACTGAAGAATATTCAAGACAAAATAGAAAAGGTTTAACTTTTAAAACGCCGTAAGTGAATTAAAGACTAAACTTTTTTTTAAAAAACATCTCTTGATACCAATATCAAGAGATGTTTTTTAAAATCTAGAAGTAAATTCCAATTAGTTTATTTGGGTTATTAGGTTTATTACTTATGTGCTGATTGTGAAGTTATAGGATAGTATAGGTTAATATTTCCATGGTTGTTTTTTTTTATTATAGGGGTGTTACATAAATGTTTTATATTTAAATGGTTGTTTTATTTGTATTAGTGTCCTCAGTAAAAGTATTGATTTGAAATTATTTGTGATGGAATAAATGTTGCCTATAATTACAAATTATTGAGCGTCGGTGGCTCAGGGGTCAAGCTTTGGCCAGCGTGGTTGACTATGGCTTAGTCATCCCTACTTAGGGTAGGCTTCGAGCCCCTCGATGGGGACGTATAGTGAGCTGATGATGATTACTAAGCCTTTAGTAAAGAATAATTTTAATCGGACCCTTTGTTAAAGAACTTTTTTATTGTTTATCTAAGATGCTTCTTAAATTGAATGCCAACTTGCTTGCGTCATTGAAAATTAAATTGTGGTAATTATACATAACAAACATTCAAGTAAGAAGCATTGATTATTGACCTTAATAAATAAATATAAGTATATAAACTTAATTACATAAAGCTATATATTATTTACTTTCAATAAGGTTAAAATAAAAATAAACGTTATTATAATATTTAAATTTAATTGCATGTAAAAAGTTATTTATTATTTGTTTTCATATGTAAAATATCTAATATCAATAGTTTAAAATATTTAACAAATATCAACACGTAAGTAGCAGTTTTAAAACATAGTATTTCGCTATCAATAAGCCACTTTGAGAAACATGAGGCTGCACGAACAGTGCTACCAACCGCACAACGAGATCACGAGATAGCTCTCGTCTTCCTTATCAGCTGATTTTCCTGCAAATAACTGAGGCACGATTTTATTTCTTCACGCGCATCAGTTGGAGGGCTCTTTCAAATACGTAAGTAACCAAAATACTCTATAAATTTATGAAATTAATGGAAAAATATAATAATTACAAATAGTTTACATATTTACATGACAAGAAAAGTATTTTAAATGATTTTAATATACTTATTTAAATCTGTTTTTGTACTATAAAAAGAAAGTTTACATCTTTAAATCTTGTTGTATATCAATTCACTAGAAATCTTTTATGCTCTACATACGTTTTAATTTGGTAAATAACGCGCCAATGAACAAATTAATTTAATGCTCGCATCACGAATTGTACTGGTCACATGCGCGGGAGCACCAACATTACGAATCGGTTCAGTTTGCTCTTGCGCGGTGAACGCGCGTTACGTGTATTTTGTGCACACAAATCTAACATATTAATACTGGTACGTAAGCATTCTAATAAACTTTATTCATAGTAATGCCATATTTAAATTGAATATTACTAATTTTAAATACATATATTATAATATTTTTATTAAATGTTTGATAATATTGATCGATACAAAGGCGATGATTGCTTTCAATGCTTGTGGTGGGACGGCTTGTGTTGCGATCAGTAGATTTACTTTTATAAAAACAATATTACTTACTAAAAACAATTCTTAAGTTTATAAAATAACGTGATAAGTCTAGTTATATTGATATTGTAAACTTAACTACTTTAACTAAACGTAACGTTTTTTATTTATTTAAATAAAGACGGAATCTTGAAACCGGTTTAAATAAAAATTAAATGATAAAAATTATTCGTTGATTTTGTATTCTTGTTATTCATGAGAAGCAAATTAACACAAAAGTCAAGTTTTAAGTCTTGTGAAAATTAAAACCTTATTCTTTGATTCCTCTTTCTCTTGATTGTTTTTATTCCTAAAACAAATAATAATAATTTAGGCACAAAACTTGCGACCTCTTATTCCAAAGTAATGCTTTTTGATTACTGAGTCGTGAGTAAGAAATTTAATAGTCCTCACTTAAGTATTACATAGTTTCCAATACCACAATCACGAAAAAAAAATTACCAGCTTCACGTAGAGATATTTGCGCGAAATATGTCATTATGACGAAAGGTCGAAGTCTTAAAATAGCTTGCAATTTTTGACAATAAAGCCTTATGTCCTTGAGATGGTTTAAGTTTTTTTTATGCAATCCTAGTAGAGTTAAGTTCAGGCATTTTAATGGTCAAGATTATATTGATTCCAATTTATTTCAAATCTAAGTACGCATATTTTCTAGTCATGTGATTCACTTATCACAAACTTACATGACATTATAATAATCATATAACAGTTTTGGTGGCCAGGAGACACAATCTTCTTGATATCGATAGAGTAGATAGTTTCTGAGTCTCTTTGTAGTTATCTCTGTTTCATCAAAGATGAAAGACAGGGATGACGATATGTTTTATACAGAGATTTGAGCTTAGAATGTCTGGGTTAATCGGCGACTGATTATGATACGTTTAGTTTGAACGCACCCTTACGACTTTATGATTTTTATGGAAAATGTAGAGCTTAGTGTACTTAAGAGTTAGACAAACCTTGACGACGATGATTGTCAGGTCTTGGAAGACCTAATCGATAGTGATATGTGATGGTGGATTCCATAGACTAGTATAGTGTGACGCATGTAATCTGTTGTACTGACTTAAAATTTAGTTTAATTCCTGAACTTGATACTTGATGATGAAAGAATTCTTTGATAATATATTCTTATCTTATGTATACGGAGATTTTTATCTTCATGACTGACACGTGACCTCAAGCACAGAGTACGTAGTATGTAGGCTACATTAAATCAGAGTCAAGTTAATTAAAGAGTAGCATACTAATACTTGAACTAAGAAATTACCTTAGTAGACCTAACAGCAATTAATATGGTACAGTCCTAGAAGATCGGCGTCAGAAATTTATGCCTGGTTTACATTATGTCAGAACAGCAGAACTGTAGCGCCCAATACTAGCGCTGGCGTAATGTAAAAACCAATGAGCGACTATAGTCCATATCAGGCCAGCGCTACTGTCTTATTGTACTGGCATAAAGTAAACCAGGCACTAAAGACAATATTCTTATCTCCATCGTTCTTCGAACCATAGTGTATACCGTGTACCATTTGATTGAAAAATATTTTGCCATTTCCAATATTTAAAGAATATAACAATATATAAAGAAATGTTGTTAGTTGTCGGCTAACACATAAAAAAACCTTACGTAATCACATGGGTACTGATAGCGCAACATTTTTGCAATACACTAAACATGTTTTAGTTCAAATCAATATACATAACAATATGTTTGTCTGCGTGTTTGTGTTGAAAGAACTACGTGCCCGCACTATATGGGCATTTGTGTCAACATAAACTAAACTTTATTTAAATTAGTATGTTGCAATTTATGTTATCTAGATCTTTTTGGTAGCGAACGTTTTTAAATGGAGGCTGGTTTGACATATTTAAATGAAACCGGTGTAGATAAAACCTTCGTAGTGCGTGAGCCCTAAAAAAACATTTTTCAAACCACAAATTAAAAACGGGAAGAAACGGGTCTTCTAATTACACGATAAACGAAAATACTTTTAAATGCCCCTTATTCACACCGATATACGTAAAAAAACGTACCTATAAACGTAAATAGTATTTGCTATTTGAGGTAATGTAAATTCACACTTTCTAAATTTACCGGCAATAAATATTAGCAAAAAGTACGAAGGTTCCAGAGAAATAAAGCACTTGTTTCGTTGCAAATCTTAACATCCTTTACACTACAAATAGTCTATGACATATCCCATTAATGTCCGTAAAATTCTTTAAATTGCCGGCGCTGTATTTGGCAAGGTTTATAACAGCAATTATCAGAATGAGTAATGCGCCTTCTGTGACTAACGTATTAAAAACAAATATTGAGCTAAGGCTCGCACCGCTGATATGTTTTATTCATGCTTTGCACAAACATGCACTGTTTTATAATGAGGTTAAATACATGTCGAGTTTTTGGTTCTAAAGATAATGAAATTCTTTTAAAAGCGTTTTAAAAACCAAGCTACTTACACTATTTGCTTTATTTTTAATCTTACTAAAATTATAAATGCGAATGTTTGGCTGGATGAATGGACTGTTTGTTTGAAAGTATCTCCGGAACAGCTTAAACGATCTCGAATGAAATTTGACATACATATAGAACATAGTCTAGAAGAACACATAGGCTACGTATTAAGTTTTTTTCAATTCCGCGTGAATGAAGTCGCGGGCGATAGCTAGTAAAACATTCCTAGAATACGATAAGTTTATAAGTAATTTGTGTTTGAATTAGTCGTGGCGGATATTGTAGACTCTAGAGTTCTTTTATGAAATGGAAATAAACACTTTTTTATCATCTGACAAACATCTTCAAACAATATTTAGCATGTAAATGCAATCTTGACATCAGCCATTATGAGTTCAGATCTCTTATTCATACTTCGCAAATGCAAAGCAAAAATATCTCGATCACAGAGAACCATAATTATTTAACATACTAGATAAGTTTACAGAACCCTAATTTTAACCTAACATTAGCGTAAAAACTTTAAGAGTAATTAGAATACGGCATTAGTAATTTTATGTACAACTAATATTATTTTATGCTTATTTATATGATACATCTAGCTGTTGCCTACGATTCTGTCTGCGCGGAATTAAAAAAAACATAGTAGCCTATG